TATATATATATATATATATATATATATATATATATATATATATATATATACTTTGCATTTAAACAATCATATGGACCGACTTATATATATTCATCATATACACGATTTGGTAAAAAAAAATGCAATATATTCAACTTGTCTTGATATATATATATAACTTGTAGAATCTATATATAAGTACACCTAAAGATTTTTTTTTGTCACAAAGTGCAAGTAAAAATTATAATTATAATTACATAAAAAAAATTATAATTATAATATCTGTAATGATAATTATATTCAGGTATATGAATATATAAATGATAACAAATAAAAATTCAAACCATTTTCTTATAAAGTGCATGGACCGTTTCCTAACTTTTACTCTCCGATCATATTTTATTTATTATTTAGTATATATTTGCATTTTAATTTCATATGTGCACCTTTTGGATTTTCTAGAAGGCCAAGTAATTGTTGAAGGCGGCCATTTGCTTCCAAAAGCTTGGAACCCCCTCTTGTGGTCGTGGGCAATTGGGTCCTATTTTATTTATCTTACACTTGCACACATTTTTATTTAAATATTTCATTTACTAGGAGTTTATACGTCTGTCATCCCAATTTTTAAGAATATTCTATTCTAAATCTGAATCATTCAGATTTTTTAGTTCAAATGACCAAAACATATATATAAATTTAGAAATAATGATAATTTTTGTACATAATTATTTTTTTATTAGAAATATCAATCTAAATCCAAATTTCCTGATATATATATATATATATAAAATATTTTTTGGATTAAATATGGTATGTTCATGCATGGGTAGAGGATATAAAATCCAATTTATTATGCGCAAAACAATGAGATGCATCTTTTTGTTTCTTTTATAAAATCAAACAAAGCATATCACATGAATATTAATTATTATCCCGTAGTTGGCGATCGTTTAAGCTTGACGGTCCATCTAATTTTTGACCAAAGATAATGAATTCCTTACGGATATTATATTTTATGTGAACCGATTCGTTACAAAATCTATATTTTTTATGCATACAACAAACTAAAATGTATGTTTTGCCATTTTTTTTTGTTTTTTGGTAAAAGTGTTTTGCCACTGTTTACCCATATGCAAATAATTATTCCATGTTTATATGAGAACATATGTTGCTTTTAAATAAAAAAATTTAAAAATCCAAATTAAATGCAAAACTAATTATGTATTTTTTCCTCCAAAATTTCAGAGGGGTTTTTTTTTGTCATTCTATTGTATCTTTAGTCGTTGGGAGACTTTTACAATTAGGGAGTCAGTCGTATTTTGATTATTTATTCTGTTTTTGTTTAATTGCATTTCGATGTAATTAGGTTTGATTTTGATTTTGCTTTTTATAAAATTTGAGTTCATTTTTCATTTCATTTTAAAAAAAAGCAAGTATTTAAAAATTAAAATTATATACGTTGATTTTTAAATTTAGTTTTTTTTTAAAAGAGGAAATTTGTTGAGATGTGAAAAAAAAAAGAAATTTCCGATTAAATTTGAATACAATAATGTATTATCTAACCAAAACATCGAACACTTTTTTATGCTATCACAATATTAAAACAAAAAAACCCTATGTAGATGTACGGAATGTTGGTTATGGCATGAGCATAATGCAACAAGCAATAGTTTTTCCAATTTGAATCTCTTAATATACGCTTTGAGATTTCTATCTTAAGCAAATATTTCATCTGTGGTAACAGACTATTCATAAATTCAATAATTATCTAATCCACGTTTTTCTCATAACTGGCTTCGTTATCTAATGACAATACATATGTAAATATTGTTTTGTGAAAAAAAAAGGTAAAATAAAAAGACGATCCAAAATAGGGACATTGCACTTCCATGTGGTACTTGCAACACCAAGTGGCACCTTCTTTTGTTTTCTCTGACCCTTGAGCCCTTTTTCTTCTCCCTTTAATTTGAAACGATCTCGGGATTAATTGGATTTCCTAAGCACATATATATATATACACTATAAAGTCCAAAGTTTTGTAATTAATTTTAATTAAAAGTACTGATTCGATTTTCAATGTGAACCATATATTTGATAGTTTTTAGTTGCACGTAATTAATAAGTCAAATTCAATTACGGTAAGAAAATATTCCGTCTAGTGGGTTTTTTTTTCCTTGGGAGGAAAAAAAAAACTTTCTAAAAAAATTAAAAATCAGTTTCTGAAATTCAGTTCTAAATGTAAAGTGAATGTGACCGACTCGTGTCAGTTGCACACCGGGTTTCCCCGGTAACCCGGACCCTAAGGTGTAGAAGAAACTCCGAATGACCGAACTAAGTTCTCAGGAGTTTTGTAACCTGACATGCGGTGACCACCTCCATTGTCACAACTCACTTATAGCTTTACACGTGTCGGAATATTGGGTCAATTTCCCCTCGTGGTTTGTAACTGTCCTGTCAGGGGAGTGAAAACATTCGGTTAGAAAACGGTGAAGCTATTCCCGTGGAAACAAAACAGAGCAGATGCGGTGTTCTGTCGACAGCGTCGCATATTGGCCGTCCGATGTTTCTTGTCGGGGTATATCGGTAAATTCCGGAATCTGATCGTACGGTTGAAAACTCTCTCGTTCTCCTTTTATATATTTCGTCACTGTCGTCTTCAATCAAATGCCACAAGAGAAAGCAACTTGTTTCTCTCTCTAGATTTCTCAATGTATCTAACCTTTTAACATCATCATGCGTTTCATCGAAATCCGATTTCTTTATTGAGAAATAGTCGTTTCATTTTCATCTTTTTCCGAGAAATTAAATTCGAATTCTCCACGAAATGGCATCTGGGTTCTCCGGCGGAGGTGGGCCGGATTTTTTCGCCGGCGGAGGAAGATCCATGAACTCCGGTAGCAATAACAGCAATAGCAACAACCCTCCGTTGTCTCAGCAGTCGTACAGGAACCAGCTCCCGGGGATTTTCCACGATCAGATCGGAAACAGAAACTCCGGCGTTCATGGGTTCGCGGGAAAACGCACTCTGGCTGATTTTCAGGCGGCGGCACAAACGCAAACGCAGTTCCAGAATCTGGCGGCTCTCAACGCGCTTCTTCTACGCTCCGTGAAGCCGAGAACTTTCCAGAACCTTCCGTCGCCGATTTCGCCGTTGCCGTCGCAGTTCGATCTCAGTGCGAATGATATAAATATGTTGGGTGGTTCGTCGTCTTCGATTCAGCGATTTGGGTTACCGATTCTTCCGCATCTCAGGTCAAATCATCTTCCTCAGATGTCGCAACCAGGTTTGGGACTATGTTGTGGAGGCCGAATGGGATTCGGTCCGGATAATACGGCGTTGCAGGGTGTTTCGTGTGCTGACCCGGTTCAAAACCGGGCTCAGCCGGATTCGGACTCGGAGAAGATGATGAGCAGGCTGAAGGAGCTTGAGAAACGGCTTTTGGATGATGACGGCGACGTACAAGGTGATGATGCTGTCTCAGTTATTACCAATGCGAACAGCGAGTGGTCGGAGACAATACAGAGCCTGGTGAGTCCGGTGATGAGCCCGAACCCGACTCCAACCACGAATCTGAACTCAAACCCGGTTTCGTCTTCTCCGAGTTCGTCTTCTTCGTCTTCTTCGTCTTCGCCTTCTGCAGCTTCGCCCATTTCTCTCTACTCGAGGCAAACAATAATGGAGGTCGCGACTGCCATCTCCGAAGGCAAAACGGACATAGCGGCGGAGATCCTCGCGCGTGTTTCTCAAACGCTGAATCCGAAGGGGAATTCCGAACAGAAGCTCATGGAGTTCATGTTATTGGCGCTTAGAACGCGGCTTAACACTGTCGAGAACCCGTCTCCGGTGTCGGTACTTTACGGAAATGAGCATCTTGGCTCGACCCAGTTGCTCTATGAGTTGTCTCCTTGTTTCAAGCTCGGTTTCATGGCCGCTAATCTCGCAATCCTCGAAGCGACGCTTGACGACGGGCATCTCCACGTCGTCGATTTCGACGTCGGAGAAGGCGGACAGTACGTGAACCTCCTCCACGTGCTCTCCACGCGCCGAAACGGCATAGCTCCGCCTCCGGGGGTTAAGATCACCGCCGTGTTGGATTCCCACGATGGCGCCGCCGTGTCCGGTAGTGGGGAGGAGAGGATGAAGTCAGTCGGGGATTTGCTGAGCCAACTCGGTGAACGACTCGGTATCACCCTGAGTTTCAACGTGGTGTCGAGTGTGAGACTCGGCAATCTGAGTCGCGAGTCACTCGGGTGCGACCCGGACGAGCCACTCGCCGTGAACCTAGCCTTCAAGCTCTGCCGAGTCCCCGACGAGAGCGTGTGTACAGAGAACCCGAGGGACGAGCTCCTCCGGAGCGTGAAGGCACTCGCGACGCGCGTAGCCAACTCGGTGAACGACTCGGTATCACCCTGAGTTTCAACGTGGTGTCGAGTGTGAGACTCGGCAATCTGAGTCGCGAGTCACTCGGGTGCGACCCGGACGAGCCACTCGCCGTGAACCTAGCCTTCAAGCTATTCCGAGTTCCCGATGAGAGCGTATGCACAGAGAACCCGAGGGACGAGCTTCTCCGGCGCGTGAAGTCACTCGCGCCGCGAGTGGTAACGCTTGTGGAGCAAGAGATGAACGCCAACACGGCGCCGTTTCTGGCTCGCGTGAGCGAAGCGTGCGCTTATTACGGGGCGTTACTCGACTCAGTCGAGTCGACCGTTCTGAGCTCGAACTCGAACCGAGTCAAGGTGGAGGAAGGGCTGAGTCGGAAGCTCGTGAACACGGTGGCGTGCGAGGGCGTGAGACGGGTTGAGCGGTGCGAGGTGTTCGGGAAATGGAGGCTTCGGATGGGTATGGCCGGGTTCGAGTTGACGCCACTGAGTCAGACGATCGCAGAGTCGTTGCGGAGTCGACTCAGTAACGGAAACCGAGTTCACCCGGGATTTACCGTCAAGGAAGATAACGGAGGGGTGTGTTTTGGTTGGATGGGTCGGACCCTTGCTGTCGCATCTGCTTGGCGTTAACTTTACACACTACTTTTTTTCTATTTTAATCTTAATATTATTATTATAATCATCAAAATATTAATTTTGTGATTTTTGTTATTGTAATTTCAGTCGCCAAGTATTTTAATTTTTTATCGGCTTCTGCTTAGATAAAATAATATTTATAAATGAATCGAGGGATACGAATCTTCTGCGAAAAAGGAAAATCGAGTTTTATAATTTATTGTTAAGAAAAATAAATGGTACTTCTTTTTGAGAATTTGTACTTTGGCTTTTGGAGAGTTTTTCAGATTTTTTTTTGTATCGTTTTAATACCAGAAAAAAATATCGCCAGCGAGACATTACAGAATTTATCCGATTAAATCATCACAGATGTAATTTCGTAATATTCGAATAAAGCTGATGTGGCCATCACAACTTCCATACGATGCTCATGTAAAGTATACGAGCTCCTAATTAATTAACAGATAGACTAATTCTGGTTATATAATATATAATAATAAAATTATAAAATGCCAAACACGCTAATGACGTATATATCTACATGTTTATATACGTGTCTTTTGTGTGTTTAATATGAAATTATATATATACAATGCCTACGTGAAACATATATAATGCAATTTGATATGTATTTCGTCTTAAAGCAGAAACACTAGTTTTGTGGGTTTTCCATTTTTATTGTTCTTCACACACACACACATATATATATATATGTATATATTCACGCCCATAAGCCAATGATTATTGCAGTGATTAATCTTGGGTGGATTTTTTTTTTGTCGTGAAGGATTTGTGTTGGTGAGAATAGAATAATGAAAAATATAATAATTAACAAAAATGAGTGTTTGGTATAATATGCTGACTTTTATGGTTATGGCATGATTCTATTGTTCTTTTTTTTTCCACACCAATATTTGTTGGAGGGCTCCACATCCCGTGGCATTCGATGTTCTTATTATATTATAAAGTCTCGTTGTTATTTACATAGTTTGCAAAAACTCATGAAATTCGACGTAGTTACGCGCACATGCATGTGTGTATATTTTTTCAGCAATTGAAGAAATTTTCTCTGTGTATTCATTGATCGATTGATCGATCTGTACTTGAGATTTATACAAAAAAAAATAACAAATTTTCTAACAAACTCTAACAAATTACAACAGGATAAAAAGAGTGGAAAGACGTTAGAGAATCGACGATGAACAGAATGCTTATCATCAAGTTTTCGCGTCTCTTTCTTCTTCCTATGCCTGATATTATTTTAGAATGGGCTAAGACCCTTATTGGGCTTGAACTCATATATGTATTACGCCCCCCTCAAGTCGCGGACGGGAGAAAGAGACTTGACAAATGTAATTATGTAATCTCTCAAAGAGCGCAGAAAATAGGGCAGGCTGCATCTGCTTGGTAAAGAGATCGACCAGCTGATTATGTGAAGGAACATGTAACATCTTCAGAAAACCAGATTGAAGCTTCTCATGCACAAGATGGCAGTCGATATCAATGTGTTTGGTGCGCTCGTGGAAGACCGGATTAGAAACAATGTAGATGGCTGACTTATTATCACAATACACAGTGTCCGGATCAGAAACCTCAACTTGCAAATCATTGAGTAATTTTCGGATCCAAATAAGCTCGCAGGTGACAGTAGTTTGCTTCTTGATTTTCCAAGAGATAAGTGAATCCCCAAGAAAAACACAGAAGCCAAAAGTGGACTGCCGAGAATCGGGGCAAGATGCCCAATCTGCATCTGCAAAAGCATTCAAACGAATGGCAGAGGAAATCGAGTAAAAAAAGCCTTGACCAGGATTACCTTTTAGATAACGTACAATACGCTGAGCCGCTCTCATGTGATCAGTGGTCGGACAAGAGAGAAATTGACTCATTTTGTGTACAGCAAAAGTGACGTCAGGTCGAGTTATCGTAAGGTAAAGTAACCTGTCGATCAGCCTGCGATAGCTGGTGATGTCAGACAACGGTTCCATTGTATCTTTAGTCAGACGAGTATTCAGATATAATGGAGTAGAGGCTGGCTTGCAGGCGAGTAAACAACATCTTCAATAAGTTCCAAGCAATACTTGCGCTGATTGACAACAATTCCCTGACGAGATCGAGCAATTTCGAGTCCTAGAAAAAACTTCAAGCTCCCAAGATCCTTGATGTGGAACTGTCGGCTGAGTAGTGATTTTAAAACCTGTATTGCAGTCAGAGCCGTCCTAAACATTTTCGGGGCCCTGTACAAAAAAAAAAATTATTTATTTTAATTTTAAAGTTTAATTCTAATTTTAAAACATTAAATATAATGTTTTATAAATATTATTAAAATATTAATAACAACAATTGTGATAATAATAATATTATTAGAAATAATAAATAATCATAATATATGATTAAAAGATATAAAAAAATTATATTTTAAAGATTCATCATTTTTAAAAATAAATATTTAAAATGAATGATATGATATAAAAAAATAATTTTTTAATAATTAGAGTTAAAAGATCTAACGTTATTCTAGGATAATATAGATTTTATTTTAAATTAATAAATTTAATGATATTAATATAAATAAATTATGAATTTAATATATGGTGATTACATATAACTCAAAATATTTATTAATTGATTATTACGACAAATGATTTAGAAAAAAATGGTCTTAATTTTATATTAAATACTATAAATTTATAAAAAAAAATTGATTTTTTAATAGAGCCCACCTCATTTGAAAAAGTGTAAAAAAATATTTTTAAGTGAATTAAACAAAACTTAAAAAATTTATTATTTTAATAAATAGTACTTATAAATTATAAATATAATAAAATTTTAAAAAATATGGGTCCCATCCAAATTGTGGGCCCTGTATAAATGCTCCAGTTGCACATGCTCTAAGACGACCCTGACTGCAGTATCATCATTACCGGTGATGATGATATCGTCAATATAGACTAATAAAGCAACAAAAGAATTCCCAAATACCCGAACAAAGAGGGTATGATCGGCTTGTGACTGAACGAAACCATCTGCAAGCAAAACTCTGGCAAATGTGAGATACCATTGCCTTGAAGCCTGTTTCAGACCATAAAGCGATTTGTGCAGACGACATACCACATTCAGATGCAGAGAATCACCGTTAACAACTGTGTATCCAGGAGGTAAGGCCATGTATATTTCCTCATCGAGAGTGCCATGAAGAAAAGCATTTGTTACGTCTAGCTATGAGACCAATTCCTAGCAGCCACAAGAGCAAGAACGAGTTTAATTGTCACAAGCTTAGCAACAGGAGAGAAGGTGTCAAGAAAGTCCACACCCTCCTGTTGAGTAAAGCCCTTAGCCACCAATCACGCCTTGAATTTATCAACAGAACCATCAGATTTGCGTTTGATTCGATATACCCAACGACAACTGACGACATGCTTACCAGGCGGCAGAGAAACAACAGACTACGTCCCATTTGTAGCCAGAGCATTGAGCTCGATATCCATGGCAATCCTCCAAGAACATCGGTTACAATCTCCTTGAAGGATTTTGGTTCGGTGGATAAAGAGGAACTAAGGATAAAGGCACGATAAGGGGTGGAAAGGCGAGAATAGGATAAAACTGATGAAATAGGGTATAAAGAATTGTGAGAGGTAGGGAAGATTCTGTCGGTGGATAGGTAGTAGTGATAATCATAGAGGTAAGAAGGTGGATGTCTATGACACTTTGGTCGAAGGGATAGGGATGAAGAGGAAGTAAATGAAGTTTCATTTAGATTTGGCTTGAAGAGGATGAGTTAGGTAATGAAGAATCTGGGCTTGGGCCTGATGATAATAAGCTAGGTGATGAAGTATGTGAGCTTGGGACTGAAGATAATGAGCTAGGTGATGTAGAAGATGGACTTGGGCCTGAAGAGGGTGGATTGGGCTGTTGAAGTGGGGAAGAATCTATTAAAACAGAAATTGGCAAATGCAAAATAGTTTTCGGGAAAATACTGTCTGGAAGAATAGAAATATCAGAATGAAAAGGAAAAATATTTTTATGGAATTCTACATTACGGGAAATGATAATTGAGTTTGATTCAAGGTCAAAGAGTTTGTACCCTTTGTAGCCCGAAGGATAACCGAGAAAGACAGTTGTCCGTGCTCTGGCCGAAAATTTGTGTCGTTCCGAGACGATAGTAGAAGCATAAGCTAAACAACCGAAGGCTCGAAGATACGAATAATCTGGAACCTTGTGTTTTAGCAGCTCATACGGTGACTTTTTGGCCAGAAGCGGTGATGGCGTTCGATTAATCAAGAAGATTGCGGTTATGATAAAATCGGACCAAAAATGCAAAGGAATGTTCCCCTGAAATAAAAGTGTCCGTGCCACGTTCAATATATATTGGTGCTTGCGCTCAACTGCCCTTTGATCGAAACAACGCGTCAAAAGATAGTTCTGGAGCGTTATCAGAGGGAACAACCTTAACCTTTAGAGAAAACTGTGTTTCGACCAATATCAGAAAACTCAGAATAACCTGCAGAACAACACTTTTTACGGCTGAGCATGTATACCCATGTTATCCGAGAATGATCATCAACTATCGTTAATAAGTACCTATATCCGTCATGAGAGGAAAGAGAAAAGGGACCCCAAATATCAATATGAATGGGATCAAAAGGAAATTTGGACAGTTTGCGATTTGAAACGAAAGGGAGACCGAGAAGGATTTGTACTCAGCATAGAACCGGAATCTGTAGTAACGTTGGCAAAGTTGGTTGATGGCTTGGTCTGTGACTGCCGAATCGGAGACCGAGAAAGATTTGTACCACCAGACTTTGAGTTCGGTAACCAGGTGGGAACCGTGCAACTTGTAGCATTTCTGCACTGTATGGCCTTATAGACCACAGTGTGTACAGAGGGGACACTGCTTACCCTTGAAGCTCGCAGTAGAAACAGTCGAGACAGCTCTGGCACAGGGGATGAAGAAGCTTGAAAAACAACAACATTAGGAGGTTTGGAAGACTTGATCAGACGTTGTTGTTCCTGCTGGATGACGGGATTGTAAGCCATCTGAAGATCGGGAGGAGGGTCCATAGCGAGAATGTGACCACAGACACTGTCATATTCTTCACTGGGTCCGAAAAGGAAATCATGACGAAATCTCCTTCGTCTTCATCAATCCAATGCTTGGACAAGAGACAAGTACACCGTCCACAGGTGCAAGAGTGATTAGCTCTGACAGATATGAATTACTTCCACACGGCGAAAATGGCAGTGAAGTAGAAAGCAACATCCATAAAGCTCTGACGTAAATCACGCAGTTTCTGCTTGATTCAGTATTTCCGCGGAGCATTGTTCTGTTGATAGTTTTTGACAAGGAACAACCACATATCTCGAGCAGTTTCCGCATAGAGTAAGCTCTGGGCTATGTGTTCAGCGACCGAGTTCATAATCCAGCCTCCAACGATGGCGTTATTACGAACCCAGAAGCGACAGACTGGATCATCTTCGGTAGGCCTGGGTAAAGAACAATCGACAAAGCCGATTTTGTTCCGATTTTCAAGAGCCATCCTGAATGATCGAAGCCAGGAGAGAAAATCAGCAGCTCCGGTTAAGGATTTCGTGACAAGCGCCATTCCACCATTATCGAAGCTTGAGAGATAGTAAGGACTATCGAAGTCAAGGGTGAACGGAGTGGGAGGAGCAACCGCAACCACCGGAGGATAAAGGAATGAAAGAAAAATGGCAGAAAAAGGATTCTGGAAAGAAACAATCGATAGATCGACTGAAGAAGAAGAGAAAGAAAAATCAGAGAGAGTGCTCTGATACCATTTCAACAGTTGAAGAAATTTTCTCTGTGTATTCATTGATCGATTTGTACATGAGATTTACACGCAAAAAGAATAACAAATTTCCTAACAAACTCTAACAAATTACAAGAGGATGAAAAGAGTGGGAAGACGTTAGAGAATCGACGATGAACAGAATACTTATCAGTTATCAACAAGTTTTCGTGTCTCTTTCTTCTTCCTGAGCTTGATATTATTTTAGAATAGGCTAAGGCCCTTATTGGGCTTGAACTCATATCTGTATTATATATATATATATATATATATATATATATATATATATATATATATATATTTTTTTTTTT